GGTAACTGAACAAAGCAGCTAGCCATGGCTATAAACTGCATGGCCTACGCCCCTGATGTGTACACACGCACCACATTGAATTGGCCGTACAGAGGCAGCCTCGGCCAGGCATCATTATCCATTCAGAGGCTCAGCCCTCTTACTAGAGCTGTTCAGTCTGAAGAGTGGCAGAGTAGAGAGACTGAAGATAGAGGCATCATAAGTGAGTATAGTTTTTTTATTGAAAAACTTAAATAAACAGCAAACATGACTAGTGAGCGCCTTGAAATTTTTTATAGCCCGAGGAAGACTGCATTTCTTTATTTGTAGAATTTCTCAGGTTCCCTATACTACTCATTTGATGTAAACATTTCATGTGTTTCCTTGCTTTTGATATAAACGTAAAAATGTGAATGCAGTATTAGTGTCCTGGGAGGATGTGCAAAGCTAGTCAGCGCTTCCAGAAGGAACTATTCCAGGGACCAAGGCGATCAGGTTAAGAGGGTTAAAACTCCCTCGGTCCTTACCTTCCTTCCTCCATGTCCCAGACACAATCACTTGGAGGTATCTGGTTTCAGAGTCATCCCCAAACCTCCTGCTTGTAATTATTTTAACTGTGGCCTCTGTTTTAAGGCTCCCACTTGAGAGCTAAATGTACTTGGGAAAGGGGGCCTGCTAGGTAGGTTGCACAGAAAGCAATGCCCTGGAGATGCCAATTTCTGACTCAGTGCCAAATAGTACCCATCTGCACTCGGGGACAGTGAGGAGCTGACCCTGGCCTTTGGATATGGGTAAACAGCAGGTGATAGACGGTAGTGAGTGAGTGTGTGTGTGTGTGTGTGTGTGTATGTTTTAACATGTATATTTACCATGAAAATATGAGATTAAAAATGCTTTCCAGAAAGTTTGATGAGGAAGAGAGGAAGAAAAAGAAAACAGAGGAGAAAGGAGAAGAGGTATAAGATGAAATTGGTCAGCATCTTTATTAATAAAAGTCAAGGCCAAGGTCTGCAATTGGAAAAGGTCTTATGGCTTCACCAAGTTGACACGCCACCTTCTCAGGTACTTACGCATTAGAGAACAAACCCAATGGCAATTACTTCTGAGCTTTGCAGCTGTTCTCTACAAAAATGGGACTTCTAAAAGTTAAACCTGACCCATAGAAGAATGCAAGCAAAAAACAGAAATGGCAAGATCTGGGAGCTGCCATTGGAATTGCTAAGTGACTCTCGAAATATTTGAAGCCTTTTCACATTCCTCCACATTCATATAGATAAGTCTTGAGTTCAATTTAGATATATTTTGGCTGAGATTTAGAATACTTCTGACTGATAGGATTTAATAAATTATAGTATTATGGAACACATAGAGCAACCATCTAGCTCAGTTTAGTTGTTTTTATTTATTTAAAATAGAATTCTGTTACCAAGAGTGGTGCAACTGCTGGTTTTAGACATGAATAGTATTATTTGCTGGACTTCGAGAGATATCATTTTTTCTAAACTACAATTTACAATGGCCCTTTTGAAAATAGATTGTCAAGTTGTGGGGTTTTGTTTTTTGGGTTTTTTTCTTTTCTCATTTCTTTTAAGCCAGGCACCTTTAGATTGTTTGCAATTTGTTTGAAGAGGTTGAGCATCTTTGGCCCTGCTCACCTGAAGGTGGAGTGCAGGTGAGCTATACCATGCAGAATGCTGTTTCCCCCTCAATCTAAACAAATTTTTAAAATGATAAAATGGATATGTAACTTGTTTGGAAGCATTAAAATTAACTCTTTAATATATTTCATATTTTAAAGAAATTTCTGTAAACTGCTGGGCATGTCCAAGGCTTATCCTAAAATTAAGACTAGTCCACCTAAGGGTATATGGTGAGAATTCTGTGCCTTGGAGGAAGGTCTTTACAGGAAGAATGCCCATGGTTTCACCTCCAGTGTTGCCACCTGCACGCACAAGACTCTCTGCATGCAGGGTCAGGGTAAGCTGCTCCAAGGTATGGTTTTGAGTCCTATCCACAGTCAATAAAATCATTTTCATCCCAAGGAGCAGCCAGTGATGTGAAGGTCTATTAAAGTGAACAAAAAATAGATTGTAAGTTTTCTTTTCTTGCTTGAAGTATAACACATGCTCCATTTGATCCTGCCCTAAATAAGCTAACATTGTATTGTGACAGAGGCTCTATCAAGCCAGGCAACAATTAAGAACAGCTCAATTGAAAACTTTATCAATGCCTGTGTACTAACCCTCCAATTGTCACCACTCAGAGGTTACAGGACTTTTTCCAAGTATTTAGAACAGGTTGTTTAGAGTTTTTAGAAGACCAGGATATAATCAGTAGGTACGTTAGCACAGAAGATAATTCCAGATTTATTTATGGCCTTGGGAAAACTCAGTCAGGTATCTTCTTGAAGCACAGAACTGTATAGCTCCCCTGAAATAACTGAATGGCACATCAAGCTACAAACCCATCAACATACACTCACTCATCTGTAGATCTGACTGTTGGGTCATTATTTAGGTCTTAAAATGATGTTCGACCTCAAGTCAGTAGATATTTTAAGGAGCCCTGTTTTTCTCCCTATTTGCAGAAGTAGAGAGATGAAGGAAAACATATTATCAAAAACTTAAAAATACAGGAGAATTCAGCCTTCTGCCAGGGAAAGAAACATATCTTATTAGTCCACAATGACAATGGGCTATGGCACTATCACTCTTGGTATAATATCATTTCCCTCAATATTAAATCAGTGGATAATAGGCAAGCTCAGAAACAAGAACGTACTCTTAAACCATGATTTAGTAGCAAATAAAAACAGGGAAAAAATTATTCTGAAGCCCCTATTCTTAGATTCTTAGGTATATAGTTGATCCTCTATGGATACAGTAGGCCAACTGTATTTTGCCATTTTATATAAAGGATTTGAGTGTCCAGGGATTTTTGTATCTACAGAGGTTCCTGGAACCAATCCTTCATAAATACTGAGGAACAATTTGTAGATGTGCTGACCCTCACAAAGTAGTCCGGAGTAAAGGCCTTACAACCGGAAGCATGGTAGGGACCTGCTCTCTCCCAAGGAGGAAGCCCTGTACAAGCTCCATTATACAAGAGATTTGAAACTCCACTGTGCCTTTACTTTGCTAAGAACAAAGTAAATTAAAACAGCATCTATTATCTCTTCAAAATACTCATGGACTTTTTGAGTTCAATCTACCCTCTGAAGGAAATATACTTGACAACTTCAGGAAAATCATGAAGCCCTTTTCTCTGTCCCCTAGGATACACAGAAATCAGGACTATAGAGATTATTCATTGTCCCTAACCTGTAACCATGGCATTCATTTTCTTTGGAGGAACATCGTAGCATTTCAGACAGGTAGAGAGAACTGAAGTTTGGTTTATAAAGGAATGTGTGTCTGATAAATTCCTATCGGCATTCAACTCTGAAATCCACAATGAATGGCCTTCAAATTGGTGTTAAATTAGGTAGACACCCTACTGCTTCTGAGTCCATGAGCAACAGAAAGTCCAGGGTTAGTGCAATTAAGCAGAGGGAGTTGGATTCGGAAACAGCCTCAGTAGTATTTCTCTGCACTCCCAGTTCGTGCGGACTTAGGTGGAAACGATGCCACTATGAGACCACAGAGGAGTCTTTATAAGATATCCCTACAAAGTCACCTTTCTGATAAAAAGGAGGGGGAAAAAAGAGATCTAAAATAAGCCTAGAATCTCACAGGCAGCTACAACTTCTCAGTGAAACTCTTTCTCCGTCATGTCCTTAAATAGCATAGAATCACACACAGCCTGACTTTTCAGACAGACCTCGCTACCAAGCCTGGAGTGGGAAGTGAACCAATCCCTATGACTTGTAGCCTGTCTCCTGACTTGGCTTTTTCAGAAAATGTTCTATTACATCTGCAGAGCTATTTACTATTGGAACAGAAAACAAAGCCTGTTGTTTATACCATACCATAGCTTTTTCTAACATTTCTGCTTTTAAGATACCAAGTGTGTCCCTAAGTTCTGAAGATGAATTATGTAAAATTCTATTTTGGCATATGAGAATGGAGAAGGAATTCTTTACAAACTTTTTAAGATGATCTCATTTGTATCACAGAAAACATTTTGGATGTTATTATATGAGTATATAAATTTTCCTGTTTTATTTTGCATTAAAATAAAGCTCTATTCATCCAGTAAGACATCAGAGTCTTGGTTTTCATTCACTACCAGTTTGCTTTAAAATCTGATGAATGAATCAGTTGGTCCAAACCTGCTCACCCTTGAACAGTAACATTCAGTAGTTCAATAGTTCAGTAGCAGTATTTATTTAAATTTTTTTTTCTTTTTTGGAGATTTTTTTGCTATAGGGCGCGTGTGCTCGCCAGAATATCAGAGAGAGACAGAGACAGAAAGCAAAAAATTGCCCTCCAGCAGGGGTGGCCATGCCGCAATCCCTTCTCCTCCATTCTCCTCTTGGGATCTTAGGCATGCACGCACACGTGCCCGGTGTGAGTTTAAGCCACCAGGTCCGGGACTCGAACTGTGATCAACTGCTTGGGAATCCAGCAACACAGCCATCATACCAACTTCTAATCCCATCAGTAGTAGTATTCAAAACAGCAATAAGGCAGGGTATGGTGGCACGTACCGTATGGCAAAAACAGCAATAAGGCAAAGACAAGAGGAAAGAGTATCTGTCACACACTGGGTTCCCCAAGAAGCAGATGCTGAGATGGAGGTTTGCAAGCGAGACCTTTACTGGGGAGTGCACTTGGGTCCTAGACCTTCAGAAGGCAACAGAAGGAAGCAGACTTGGGCAGAAGGAAAAACTGAGCTGGAAGGCATCCCAATGTAGGCCTCAGCCAACCCCTCAGCCAACTCTGGAGCAACAATGGCCCTTCTCAGCTGGACCTTTGTACCACTGTGTTAATAAATGGCTGTGGACTATTTCTGGAAAAAGAAAAGACCTAGGAGCAGGCAGATT